TCAAAAAAATATATATATAGTTATTAGTACCCTCAATTTTTTCATCTTTCTTCCTAGTCTTTCTTTTTCCTAAAATGTTTAGGTATAATTTACATACAATAACATGCACCAATCTTAGGTATTTGATTCGAAGTATTTAACAAATACATGCACCCATATAACTACTATTGAAAATAATATAGGGGGCATTCCCATTATCCTGGAAAGTTTACCCTAGAAATGTCCTCATGTACATTTCTAGTCCATTCCCAGACTTCTAACATCATAACTTTATTTTGCCTGTTCTGGAAAATTCTAAAAGTTGATTGATACAACAAATAATTTTTTTTAGTCTGACGTCTTTCACGCAACAGAAATTTTGGGGATTCACTCATGTTGTATACATCAGTATTCCATTCCTTTTTAACGATGACCTCATGGCATATGGCCTCAGCCATTTCAGCAAAGTCAAAAATAGAAATGGGATTAACTAGGAACAAAATCTGTGGACAAGTCTTTTGTCTTATGGAATGAATACCCATGATATACATGGGAAACCCACTAAGTTATTGAACATTTTGTACTAACAGAAATGTTGCCAGAGTGTATCAAGGACAAAAACAGTATGAAATGAAAAAAGGCTGTCAGATTCCCCCAAATTCTGTGGGCAGGAAACAGCTGAATACGCATGCCAACTTTCATAAAAAAGGGAGGATGATTCAGAGGGTGGAGCCAGGAACAGGGGAGGATGAAGTCAGGAGCACAGAAGGTGGAGCTGTGATTCCAAAAGACAGAGCCAGGAGCCAGCAGGGCAGAAACCGAAAAGCAGGCAGCAGAGCTGTGAGCTGCTGCTGCTAATTCCCAGGCCTTGAAACCAATTGAAGTTACTCAGTTGTAGTTCAAAATTGCTTGGGATTGGTAATTCCTCTTTACCTTTCCTTTTCTCTGGATTAGAATAATCTTAAAAATGGAAGAGGGATGCAGAAGTATTTGTCAGAGAGATACCACCTGAGGACGTGACGTGATTTTGTTCTTTTTGAGGATGGAGGAAGGGAGCCATGAGTCAAGGAATGAGGCAGCTTGCAAAATCTGGGAATGGCCTTCAGTGTATAGCCAGCAAGAAAACAAGGGCGTTAGTTCTACAGCCGGAAAGAACTGAATTCTCCAACAGCCTGTATCAGTAAGGAAGCAGATTCTCCCTAGAGCCTCCAGATAGGAATGCAGTCCTGCTGATGCCTTAATTTTAGTAGGGTGAGACCCCTGACCTGTATAACTATAATAAATCTATGTTGTAGCATGCCACTAAGTTTGTGTTGCAATTTGTTATGGCAGTAACAGCAAACTAATATGAAACCAGTCAAAGATTTCAACTCTTATGGAGATCACATTCCCAAAGGGGGAGACAGTCAGCATATTATTAAATATGTATTTTATTAAATAAAGCAGTTACTCAATTAGTTTGAAGCCATAATGTTAGGATTTAAATTGAGACACATGTTTTTTTTCTAGACATTACCTAACATAGAAAAACGTTTTTTTTATTTTGGTGGCTAAGCATTGTATTTAAAAGACTGTCTTTTTAATTCTCTTCATTATTAATTTTTTCTTATAGTTTCCATATGTTAAAATATATACATATATATTTTTTCCCAGATACAGTATTTTGGTATCTTCTCGAAAGTTTTCCTAAAAGTATAATGGAATACTTTCACTGTTATCTTTCCATTCCTAACAAGATCTTTCTAGCTTCATGAGACTCAAAGTGATAGAGTAGAGAAAGTAAGATACTTTCAGAGGCAACCTCTGCCCCTTAGAGGCTATAAACTCTGGGAAGCCACTGACCTACTATTAACTTCAGTTTCCATCTGAACGTTTAGAAAACTTACACTTGTCTTCAACGATGTTACAAAAATTAAATAGAAAAATCTTGTAAATTATTTTTTTAAATCCTTTCCATTATTTTCACAGATTTGTCTCTTTTCCTTGACCTAAATTTCTAAAATAAATATGCAATATTTTTGAAATGATGTAACAATCAATTGTTTCAATGTAGGGAAATTAGAAGTTAGTAAAGAAAAAAAAATTCTATTTGAATAAAGCACTCATTTACTGAGTTTTGTTCCTAAGGTTTGGCTTTGAGCAGCTTAGGGCATATCCTGTGGGGCAGCATGGAGGCCGGGAAGCCCAGCCCCTGTGAGAGAAAGAACAGGGGCCTCCTACTGGTAGCCAGTGGATCGACACTCCCATGTTGTGCTTAGAACTTTATGAAAAGCCCTTTGATTTGTCTTTTCAACTGTCTTATAAAATGAAGATAATAAATCACTTTAAAAATCCAATTTTTTTTTCTCTTCCCAAAGCTTTTGGGTAGAAAAGATGAAAAAGGCAGAAAAAGGGAGGTGGGGTGAAGAAAAGTAAAGGACAGAGAGATGTTTTAGACTCATGCCCTGAGGTGATGCAGAAGCAACTGTCATAAAGGTTAAAACAAAAAGTCTTTATCTTTTACTCAGTGGTTAGCAGGAGAAAAATGACGTAGAAAATAGCTACTTTAACTAACAGGGTCAACTCCTTGCCTTACCTGTTTGACTAATTTGCTTTAATTGGCAGGTAGGTTCTTTGGGAAAGAGAAACTATTTGGAACAACAACAAAAAAAAAAACCCTAACAGCCTACTTGAATGCCCTGTCTGAAGAGCTGATTCTGAAATTGTACACATTTATTTCCCCATGCTGTTATTTGTTAAAGAAGCGGATTAAATTACCTTGCCTCCACATTCTGATGAAAAGGGTAGCTACATTTTATTTCATACTAAATTGGATAAATTGCTTAATCTCTTAGAGCTTCCATTTTTTAATCTGTAAAAAATACAACCAAAACCCCTACAATGGTATAGTAAATGATCATTCTAAATTGCCTTATAGTATGCTTTTAATAAATGACATTTATATCAGTGTGGTGGTCATCACTGTTAATACATGAAATTATTAATGCCAGTCTAATCTTGCAAGCTAACAGTAGGGCTCTAGTTTAGGCAGCTCACTGGCCAGTAATATGCCAATAAATAAAGCAATGATATAAATGTAAAAAATTTTACATATCCTAAAAAAATGTGATAGATATGGTACTGGTGGGGCAGATCAAACTGAGGCTGTCTGAACAGATTTTCTCTATAAAATCACATATAGCTGACATAAATTTCAACTCTAGAACCTATGCAGCTTTGTATTCAGCGTCCTCAATGCTGCCTACACCTGTTACATCTCACAATCAGCAGGGATGTGTCATCCACAGTCAAAGCCTGGAACCAGAATAAGTTGCCAGTGCCAAAGTAATAAGGGAAGACAGTGTGACTCCAGAAACTGCCCAAGGCAAGAAAATGATATGATACTGAACTGAAAGCTAGAGCAAATGGTATTAACATTTTCTTTACAGAGATGATAAGAAGTCAGAGATGAACATCTAATTGAAAAGGCATTTCTTTTGTTTTCCTAGTCAATCTCATTAAATTCTCAGAGGAAATTATTACCATTCCTTTCATTCAGTTATGATTCTCTCAGCACTTATAATATACTAGACATTATGCAATGCACTGGATATATAGAAACATAAAATTGAATCCATGGCTTCTAGAAGCTCACAATTTTAGGAGGCGGATGTTTATTGCACAATGTGCTGGGTGCTGTGAGAGAGTAAGCAGAGAAATACAGAAGAGGCATCTCACCCAGTCTGAAGAATTTGGGAAGAGGTTGTTGGAACAGATGATATCTGAGGCAAGACAAAAGATAAAAAGACAATGATCAAAGAGTCAAGCTGGGGGGATTGCATGTGTTATTTAGAGATAGGTGATAACTGGTTAATTCAGGGAATTGTAGCAAATAAATGCTGGAACACAGAGGAATATGGAGGATGGTGAGAGGCGAGCTGGACAAGTAGCATGAGATCAGATCATGAGGACCTTTCTCTTAGCCATGCTAAGAGAGTCGGAAGTTGGTGTAAAATTCTGCTCATGATGCTTTTGTTAAGAATCACACAAATAACTTTTCATCTTTTATTTATATGGAAAACAAGAAAGTCTCTGAGAACAGCACCCACAAAGAAGGGGGTGTTTACAAGGGATTCTGGTGACTATGATACTGAGCCCTTCAATTCCAGTCTTCAAGAAACAGTTCCCACTTTCATCCCCTAGGAGTCAGGGCTTGTGATGGCACAATTATTTTATCAAGTGTTTGTATTCTTTGGTTCTTACCTTTAAGTACTTGTCTTTATGGAAAGAAAAATCAAAGGTATTGTACCAGGAAAGTCTTAATGCAATTGTAGTGGGTTGAATAGTGTCCCTCAAAAATTGATGTCAGTATAGAACCTCAATGTGACCATATTTGGAGACAGGGTCTTTGCAGATATGGTTACTTAATCTAAGGTCATATTTATACTAACTTGGAGAAGGGTGGGCCCCAAATTCAGTGGCTTTTGTCCCTATAAGAAAGGCATGTGAAGACAAAGGCAGAGGTTGGAGTTATGCTGCCACAAGCCAAGGAGTGCCAAAGATCGCAGGCAACCACTGGGAGCTGGGGAGCAGCAAGGGACAGTTTCTCCCTCAGAGCCTCCCAAGGGAACGAACCCTGCTAACACTTTGATTTTGGACTTCTGGCCCCCCGAACTGTGAGAAAATAAATTTCTGTTACTTTAAGCCACCCAGATTTGTTATGTCATCTCTAGGAAACTAATGCAACAACAACAACAACAACAACAACAACAAAAAGTATCTAAATGATAATGAAAATTTCTCAGGTGACTTTTTCTAAATAGGGCTTTGTCCACTCAAAAATTTCAAACCAGTCTTAATGGATAGATGAGTAATTCTTAGGAACTTTTATAGTAATTATGCCATCTATAATGAAAAGAAGTCTATATAAATTTCAGGATCTTAGAAATCTGGTTTCTATACTTCTGCCTACTTAAGTACTTATTTATTCCAAGTGATGACACATCATCATCTCTACAATTAATTTTCTCTTTCTATTTAAGGTTATTTTCCTTGACTTTTCTTGAAGAACTTGATGTTTCCTACAATGAACTTACTTTTATTCCAAATGAAATCCAGAAACTCAGGTATTTTGGAAGTATAGAGAAAGATGTATGCCCCTTACTTAGATATTTAATAATGATTGTGATGGAGAAAGTTGAGTCCTTTCATTTATTTAATAGCCATAAAATGTAATCTGTAAAATGCAATGTTTGCCAAACATGTAACTTCAATGATTGGTGTACAATATTTTTAATGATTGGTGTACAGTATTTCCAGGAATTATTTAAGGAATAGTACAGATGACTACTTACAGAATGATAAGCTATTTATGTCCATTTGTCTATGTGTGTGTACCTGTGGCTATTATTTGTTTTGTTAACTTTTTGCAAGGAAATATATATAGACAAAATGCTAATACTACAAAATATAATTTTAATGCAAAGCTTCAATTCTTTCTCACATTAATAAAAGTCTGAAGTTCATCTATGTCCTTCTATGGCAGTACCATACTGTTTTGATTGTGACTTCAGAATAATTTTTAATAACTAGTAGGGAGATAATTTTTCAATAATAGTCTCTTAACTATTCTCTTTAGAACATAATCTTTAAGATCATTTTGTATAATTTCTAGCACATCCAGCAACACACATAATCACAAAGTTCAAATTTTAATGTGATTGCCTAGAGTTTACTTATAAATGTGGGAGAATTTACATTTTTGATGATAAATTTTTCCACTCTAAAATTTTTTTTCATTTTTTCAGATGTTGTTTTATGTTCTTCACAAGAATTTATGACTCACTTCATATTTTTCTTAATAACCTTTTCTAAGTGTTTTATAATTGTGGTTGTTACTGTGAATGTAAGGTAGTATTTCTCTTATTTACATTTGTTTCTGTTGTCAGTACAGAATAGAGAAAAGCTATGTACTTCTTTACATTACCTTAAAACTAAGGTAATGTAGTTTTAAGGTAATGTAAAACTTAAAACTACATTACCTTAGTTTTAAGGTAATATAAAAAAGTACATTACCTTAAAATGTACTTTTTAAAGTTCTCCTGTTAGTTCTGATTTAGTTTTACTGCATTTTATTTTGTTTCCTAGGAACATAATTTTGCATTTAGTAGAATGAGATAATTTTATCTCTGCTTTTTATTTTTTTATTTTTTATTTTTATTTTTTTAAATGCATTATCTGTTTTTTTAATTGCATTTTAGGTTTTGGTATCTCTGCTTTTTAAATATTTAAATCAATTACATAATTTCCAATGTGATAATCTCTATATTTTAGTAGAATTCAGCCTATTCATACTTGTTATGACCAACATATTTTTTCTTTCATTTTACTTTGTATTTATTACTTATTTACTTTCCCTTTTTCTTACTTATTAATATGCTGTTTGTTCTCTTTTTAAATTTTTGAATTTCTTTCATTTTTATTTTTTTGAGACAGGATCTCACTGTGTGGCCCAGGCAGGAGTACAGTGGCACGATCATAGCTCACTACAGCCTTGAACTCCTGGACTCATGCAAGTCTCCTGCCTTAGCCTCTTGAATAGCTGGGACTGCAGGTGCAAACCACTGTGCTTGGCTAATTTCTAAATTTTTTTGTAGAGACAGGGGCTCACTATGTTTCCCAGGCTGGTCTCAAACTCCTGGCCTCAAGTGGTCCTTCCACCTCTCTTTTTCTACCTTGTTAATTTTGGCTTTCTATTGTACTTCCCTAATCTGTTAATGGCTATCTTTCCTACTCATAATCAATCATATTTTCTTTAATATTTTATAAAGGCAAAATAAAAACTACTTCCCCCACCACGATGGTCTGTCTCCCCGCTCCTGCCTTCCACTGTTTGTTGAGACCTTCAGAACACTGTTATTTTCCTACTTTCTTTCCAAACTCATCTTCCCCTTATCTAACTCTAGGCTTTGCTAAAATAGTTTAGATTGGGAGGCAGAGGTGGGTGGATCACGAGGTCAAGAGATCGAGACCATCCTGGTCAACATGGTGAAACCCCGTCTCTACTAAAATACAAAAAATTAGCTGGGCATGGTGGTACGTGCCTGTAATCCCAGCTACTCGGGAGGCTGAGGCAGGAGAATTGCCTGAACCCAGGAGGCGGAGGTTGCGGTGAGCCGAGATCGCACCATTGCACTCCAGCCTGGGCAACAAGAGCAAAACTCCGTCTCAAAAAAAAAAAAAAATAGTTTAGAAATTTTTGTTTCAGATTCTCATTCGTATTTTCTTTGCATCATGTCTCTTTTTATTAAAGAATGCTTACTTAGCACTTAAATCTTACAAGCATTTTCGTTCGTTCTCCTTTTATATTTGTCTGGATGTATTTCAAGATTCATTGTTTACAGCTGTTTTCGCTCCTTTCCTCTCATCTGGAAGCTGGCGATGTCTCTTTCGATTCGCTGGCTGTTTAGAGTTTTTCCTTAAGTATTTTCCTCAGATGGCATACATAGATAATTTTTTCTCTGATTCTATAACCTTGACAAATAAATGATGCCCTGAGTGAGAGGACAAGCTTGCATTTGGCGTGTTTCACAGTAGTCTCCGTCATCGTGTCTTCCTCTAGTTTCCAGGGTTGGGGGGGAGGCACCTGATGCCAGTTTAATTCTTTTGTCTTCCTAAGTGACTTTTATTCTTAACTGGAAGGACTAAGATTCTCCCATAATCTTGGACCTTTCAGAATTTTATCAGATTATGCTTACAAGTGTTTTCTTTTTTTTTTTAAACCTGTCTTTCCTGGAATTCGGTGAACTCTTTTAATCACCCAGCTCAAACTTCTCTTTTCTGGTTAAGAAAATATGCTTAAATATTTCCTTTCCTTCTCCATCTGTTTCATATTTTCTTCCTAAAATGCCTATTATTGACATGTTGGGCCTCCTAGATCTGTCTTCCATGGTACCTAGATTTTTCCTCATGGTTTTAATTTTTTTGTTTGTTTGTTTTGAATTATTTTTCTACTCTGTCTTTGCCTCTAATTTGGATCCCCATGAAGACTATGTTCTTCTTTCATTCATTGACTTAACTTTTTAGTTTTACAAATCATGCATTTTTGTTCCAGAACATCTCTGTGTATCTGTGTATGCTATATTCGCATCTTGTTTTCCCACCCCCAACCCCAATTTTTTATCCATCCATCAGCAGAAGGTGCTTGTCCCAGGACCTTTGTTCTGTGTGTTCTATGTGATTTTCTCTTCGGGCCACTCCTTCTTTCATGCAAGTCCAATGGCAGTCACAGAACACCACTCAGAATGCTAAGAAAGTGAGTAGTGGACCGGAAGGAAGCTTCTCTGCACCCCAGGGTGCTCAGCTGCCAAAGCAGTCTCAACACAGTACTGTTCTAGCTTTAAAGATGACTTAGCGGCCAGGCACAGTGGCTCACACCTGTAATCCTAAAACTTTGGGAGGCCAAGGTGGGTGGATCACCTGAGGTCAGGAGTTTAAGACCAGCCTGGCCAACATGGTGAAACCCCATCTCTACTAAAAATACAAAAATTAGCTGGCATGGTGTCTGGCGCCTGTAATCCCAGCTACTGGGAGACTGAGGCAGGAGAAACACTTGAATCTGAGGGGCAGAGGTTTCAGTGAGCCGAGATGGGGCCATTTCACTCCAGTCTAGGTAAGAGAGTGAGACTCCATCTCCAGAAAAAAAGAAGAAAGAAAGAAAGAAAGAAAAAAGATGGTTTAGCCTGCCTAGCTCCCTTAGAATTCATTGAGGGGAAGGAGGCAGCCAAATGGGTGTGTCCTCCAAGGTAAACCAACTCAGGTAGGAAGGGCCTCACCATGGCTAGTGTTTGCCTAGACTGTGCCACACTCATGCTGATTGTCCACATAGAGTTTGTATTTGTCAGCTTGGGCTACTATGACAAGGCTGGGTGGCTATAAAAAACAGAAATTTATTTTCCACAGGCTTGGAAGTCCAATATCAAGGCCCCAGCAGATTTGGTGTCTGGCGAGGGCCCAGTTCCTCATAGACAGCCATCTTCTCACTCTAACCTGACATGGAAGAAGAGGGGAGCTGTCTCTCAAGTCTCTTTTACAAGGGCACTAATCCCACTCATGATGGCCCCTGCCCTGACCAGTCACCTCCTAAAGGCCCCACCTCCAAATACCATCAACTTAAGGTGAAGATTTTAACATTCGAATTTTTGGGGAAACAGAAACATTCAGACCATAGCAGGGCTTTCTGCTCCTGGCCTCTAGGCTTTGTGCAGAAGAAAAAGGTGCCCATGCCAGCTCTCTCATTCAGGACTGTGGCAGAGCCCAGGGTCTTGCTCACCTTTTTCAGACCATGAGAGGTGAATTAGTTGAACTCTGGTTGAGTGATGAAGAGAGCTGAGGTGCCATCTTCCTAGCCTCATTGTTTTAAATACTTATTTTAATGTTATCAGCAGGAGTCATAAACAAGTTACACTGTGTGGATATGAGTTGTGAAACTAGACAGTAAATGAGAATCTAGAGGCCCTCAGCTGTTTGTTACCTAAAGTTTGTATATCAGCCTTTTCACCTCTAATGCATTTGACAAGTTGGATCAGCCTTTGATTTGATTTTTATGGGTCCCTCACGAACAGACTCTTTTTTTTTCTATCTGCTTCTAGGACTAATTAGAAAGGAGGTGAGTGATGGTACAAAAATACCACTGAGGCAAGTGAAAATAAGAAAATCAGTAATGTTGGTTCTCTTTGAACAAAGAATAAGGGTTATTAGAAGTAATTGACACAGAAAAAACCCAGAGGACTCAGTTAATGAAAAGTCAAAGCACAAAATGGCACATAATATGTTTTGATAGTATAGATTTCACTCTTGACTGGGCTTGAATGAAAAAATATGTGTTGATGTTTAATTTGTCTACGAAAATACGTTCTGTGTATTATTATACTATATTTTATGTAATATGACATTCATTAGTCTTGTTGCGTTTGTGGATATTTCTTTTTCCATAGTGATAACATATTGCCAAAATCCAAAATATATGCTTTAACTGTGCTATTCACTCAAATGCACTTATTTGCATTTGAGTATTGGTTCAATTGCTTTATAAATTAATTCTCTTGATTCTAAAGGAATACTTAAATTCACACTTGTATTTTATTGCTACTAGATTTGATGCCAATTTTCAAGAACAACTGAGGCAGGATTTTACTTTAATATGAATTGTTTTAATACCTTTTAAACTATGATTTCCTTTATTTACAGATCACTTGAAAAACTGACTGTTGATGGAAATGAACTGAGTTTTTTCCCACATGGAATTTTGGAGCTTAACCTGACAAAAATTCAGTTTGAGAATAATTTCACTCATCCTTGTTTTTGGAGAGATAAATCTTTGAATAATCCACAACAACTTACTCATATTATTTCTTTGTTCATTGTCAAAAGTCAACTACATACATTTTATGATCCGATCCCAGTAGAAGTTCAGAAGTTACTAAAATGGTGAGCAAATGCTGAAGTCCTTTTAACCAAAACATATCTTTAAACATTTAAATGTTCTTCATTACAGGCTCAGATGACAGTTTCACTCAGTCACACACACACACACACACACACACTCCATGACACACACAAAACCATTCACACAATTCTTCAAATTGCTCCTTCCAGTTCTTCAGGTATAATAACTTAGTCTGAATCCAGCCCCATTTTATAATATTCTCAAGTTGTTACTTAAATCCAGTGTGAAATGTGAGTTGTCTACATGGCTGTTGCATAAATCTTTTCTATGAATTTCTAAGTTCTTAGAAGTAGATTCTTCCAAAAAAATTATTTGGCTCCAGGCACACTATGCCGGGGTGTGTTTTGCTCCTCTGTGATGTCATGGAGACCAGGAATAAAGCAGGCATGCCTGGAGCAACCTCCCTTGGGGATCAATGACTATTATTGGAATAATTGCCTCATCTCAGGACCGGGTTTCTTACACTGTCATATCTTACAGTCCACTTAGGCTTGTCACTTATTTTCTTCAGATAGTATAATACCATTTTTACTGAATTATTGACCATCAGTGCTTTGGTTATTAATTTAACAAGTATTTGCTATATGCCTAAGTAAAATGGCTCCCAGGAATATATCCTTTATAAATATTGACTCAGTAAAAGGCAGAAAACCTAAACAGAATCCTTCTCAAAAAAAAACAAAGAAAGAAAGAAAGAAAGAGTAGTGGTGGTTGGGCACAGTGGCTCACGCCTGTAATCCCAACACTTTGGGAGGAAGAGGCAGCTGATCCCCTGAGGTCAGGAGTTCGAGACCAGCCTGGCCAACATGGTGAAATCCTGTCTCTACTAAAAATACAAAAATTAGCCAGGCATGGTGGCACATGCCTGTATTCCCATCTACTTGGTAGGCTGAGACAGGAGAATCACTTGAACCCAGAAGGCAGAGGTTACAATGAGCTGAGGTCATGCCACTGGACTCCAGCATGGGCAACAGAGCTAGACTCTGTCTCTCAAAAAAAAAGAAAAAAATGTACTGAGAAGTGAGCTGAAAAGAAATAAATAGATTAGCTGTCCTTTGGAGATCACTGAATACACTGGAAGTTTCTTCTTCAGGCCTTGAGAATCACTGAATCCAAATAGACCTGGCAGTAGGTCAAAGATGGCCTAGTGCAGGGGAAGGCTGGGTGAAGGTCAATTAAAATACTCATGTCCCTAACAGGTGAGGAGGGATTGATTCAAAGTAATAAGCATGGGTATGAGCAGGTAGGAAGTGCAACAAGGCAAATAATGGAGGTAAAATTACCAGCTACCTAGGTATGTGGGGCAAGTGAGAGAGGGAGGATGAAAAATGACTAAGGGTTCAATCACATCAAAGATGACTGTGATATTAGTAAAAATAAGAACAGTGAAAAAGGGATTTGTCACCCCAACCACTGTCATCCTCCAATGTCTACCCTTGGCTTTAATCCTGAATTTCCAGCTACTGAAAATTTCAGTATTGTCCTACTTTTGCTGAGTTCTTTGGACTGCAGCTTAGCTGTGGACTTGCACCAGAGCCACTCCAAGCTCAGCTTCTGCTGTCACTCCAGTGACTGCCCTGTCGATTAGCAGCTCTGTTCGTCTTTTTGTCCTGTACAACTTGTCATTGCTATCTACCTCTTTCTGTCTCTCTACCCACATTGTATCACCTCAGACAGAGAATCCACCTCTTTTGAGGATGGGATCAGAAGACTCATGTTTCACAAATTTTACCTTGACTTCCTTATGCGTGAGAATGTTAGAAATTTTTGTTTTATTTTTTTATTTTTGGTTGACACATAATTATGCATATTTATAACATATAGAGTGATATTTCAATACATGTATATAGTATGTAATAATCAACTCAGTTTAGTATATCCATCACTTTGTCATTTCTTTGTGTTGTGAACATTTAAAATCTCCTAGCTTTTTGAAAATACACAATAGATTATTGTTAACTATATTCACCTACAGTGCTATAAAACACTAAAACTCCTATCTACCTCTGATTTTTTTCCATTTTTAACCTCTCCTATCCTCTTCTTCCTCTTACCCTTCCCGGCCTCCGATAACCACAATTCTACTCTCTATTTCCATGAGCTCAATTTGTTTTTAGTTTCCATATATGAGTGAGAACATGCATTATTTATCTTTCTGTGCCTGACTTATCTCACTTAACATAGTGTCCTCCAGGGTCATCCCTGTTGCCACAAATGACAAAATTTCATTTTTTATAGCTGAATAGTATTCCACTGTGTGTATATACTGCATTTTCTTTATCCATTCATCTGTTGTTAAACATTTAGGTCAATTCCATATCTTGGCTATTGCGAATAGTGCTGCAACAAATATGGGGTGCAGATGTCTCTTCATTATACTGTTCTCCTTTCCTCTGGATAAACACCCAGTAATGGGATTGCTGCATAGTAAAATCGTTTTATTTTTAGTTTTTTGAGAAACCTCCATACTCCATTTTGATGGCTGTACTAATTTACATCTTCCACTGAAAGTGTCTAAGAGTTGCTTTTTTTATGCATCTTTACCAGCATTTATTACTTTTTATCTTTTTGATAATAGCCATTCTAACTGGGGTAAGATATATTATTACAGTTTTGATTTGCATTTTCCTAAATATTAGTGATGTTGAAAATTTTTTCATATACTTATTGGCCAAATATATGTCTTCTTTTGAAATGTCCATTTATTCTTTGACCATTTTAAAATCAGATTGGATTTTTTTTTCCTGTTAAATTGTTTAAGTTCTTCATGTATTGATTAGTGCCTTGTCAGATGAATACTTTGCAGATATTTACTCTCATTCTGTAGGTTGTTGATTCTGTTGATTTTTCCTTTGCAGTGCAGAAGATTTTTAATTTGAGATAGTCCCATCTGTCTATTTTTATTTTTGTTGCTTATGCTTTTAAAGTGTTAGCCATAAAATCTTTGCCTAGATCAATGTCCTGAAGCGTTTCCCCTATGTTTTCTTCTTGTGGTTTTATAGTTTGTTTGAATGCTTAATCATAGTCTTCTGTTTAATCATAGGGGAAATTAATCCATTTTGAGTTTATTTTGTATACAGTGAAAGACAAGGATCTAATTTATTCTTCTATGTGTGGCTATCCAGTTTCCCCAGCACCGTTTATTGAAGACAATGTTTAATTAGAAATATAGACTAAACTTTCAAAATTATTACTCAGTTCCACTAAACTATGAAGCCTTGATAGCAACTAATACTTGGAACTTATCTTTACTAAAAATAACTCATTCTGGCTGGGCATTGGTTCATGCCTTGTAATCCCAGCACTTTGGGAGGCTGAGGCAAAAGGATCACTTGAGGCCAGGAGTTTGTGATCAGACTAGGCAACACAGCTAGTACAAAAAATATTTTAAAGTTATCTGATGTGGTGGCATGCACCTTTCTAGTTTTGGCTTTTCAGGAGGCTGGAGCAAGAGGATAACTTGAGTCCCGGATTTTGAGGCTGCAGTGAGCTATGGTATGCCACTATTATTTTGATTTACATTTCCCTAATGGTTAGTGATGTTGAGCTTCTTTTTAAGTGCTTATCAGCCTTTCGTATGTCTTAGAGAAATGTACCTTTAAGACATTTGCCCATTAAAAAAAATTTTTTTCTGGTTCTTGTTGAGTTATAGGAGGTTTTTATATTCTGAATATTAATTCCTTATCAGATATATATTTTGCAAATATTTTATCCCATTCTGCTTGTTGCCTCTTCACATTGTTGACAGTGTCCTTTGATGCTTAAAAGTTTTACATTTTTATGAAGTACAATTTATCTATTTTTTCTTTTGTTGTTTTTTGTTACAGGGATCTAATACTTGCCCTGGTGTCTGAAGTGAGGGCAGTCCTGTGGGACTGAGCCCTTAACCTGTGAAGTCTGATGCTAACTCTGGGTAGATAGTGTCAAAATTTGATTGAATTATAGGACACCCAGTTAGTATGCATGGAAGACTAGAACACTGATTGCTGTTATTAAAAATTATGACAAATATATAGTATTCTTTTTCATGTTTTATACTTTATATAAATATTTAAATATCACACAGTATTTTCTTCTGCAACCTGTTTTTTATGTTCAACATTATTGTTTTAGATTTATCAATATTGATTTATATAGCTCTAGATAATCATTTAACTTCTGAATCGTTTTTCTTGCAGTGAGTGTTTCATAATTTGTTTATCATTTCCCTTACTGATGAACATTTGGATTGTTTCCAATATTTCATTAATATGGTGAAATCTGCAATGGACATTTAAAAACATCTCCTTATGCAAATATGCAAGTTTATCTAGGTACAGAGTATGTGCGTCTTCAATTTAAGTAAAAACTGCTATATCATTCTCCAAAGTGATTATACCCATTTATACTCCACTAAGAAAGTATGAGAATCCTTAATGATTCTGATCCTCACCAAACTTTTTTTGGTCAGACTTTTACATTATGCCCATCTGATGATTGTGAAATAATAATTCTTTGCTGTTTTATTTTGTATTCCCCAATTACTAGGGAGATTGAGAAGTTTTATGCATGTTCTCTTGACAATCATTTTTTTCTTCTGTGAATAGTCTATTCATGTACTAATGGATTAATATTTTTTAACTGATTTCTAACCATTTAAAAATACATTATGGATGCTAATTCTATACTGGGTTATGATAGTAGCTTTATTTTTAAAAATAATATGTTTAGTTTGTATCATAAAAATAACATGCTTATTATTAAGAATTAGAAAATAAACATATTGTAAAGAAATGTAAAATTCCCTGTGATCACATTTCCCAAGAATAACTATTTTCAAATAGGGAGCCATCATTAGAGTTTTTTCTTGTTATGCATATATACTTTTTTGTTTTAAAAAGCTAGGATTGTATTCTACCTATATCTACTTTATTGTTTAGCTCTTTTAGCATTTAGTCATTCACTTAATGGGTAGCACTCATTTAGCTGTTAATCTCAATGAAGATAAGGGCCATATTTTATACTATTTGGAGTCCTGCATAGCACAGAGTCTTTAATAAAAATTTAATAAATATTTACTTGCTGTTTGCTCCATTTCAGCACCTCCAAGTGTGAATGGTGTCATGGTCCCAAGTTTGGTGAAGGTTTTCGTGTCATTCGATCCTGTGATATTTTTGGAGCAACACAGCTTCCTGTTATGTTTTATGTCTGTTCTTCTTCCTGCTATAGAAGAATAAAGGAAAGTAGTTTTGTTTTAGATGGTAGTCCTAGTAGAAGAATAGCACTAGATGTGGAGTTGTCAAAAGAATTGTAGTACAATGATTTATCATATATATACATATATATATTTACACATATATATGAACTTTACTGGCTTTTACTACATATATATCTACATATAATAATTCATCTCTCTGAAAGTACAGGTTGTTTGGAAGACATAAGTGTCTTCTCATATTAATTCTCTTTGTAATTCTAGCTCCTTATGAAAGTTTGTGATTGTTAGGGAATTGTTGCAGAATAATTACTCAAGGAGGATTAGTAAAGCCTTTAGATTTGAATAAAGATCTGGAAAATTTCAGAACCTGTTTACTATAAAAGGAAAAATGTTAAAATCCTTTGCAAAATGGATTATATCTTACAACTGGTCTTTTCATGCATCCATACTAAGTGATGAGATAGCATTGCAGAGTCATCAGTGGGGTTTGTGCTGCATACAGCTGCAAGGCCATACATCCACGTTCTCAATGCTTGTGCATTTCTGTGGGAATCTGTCCAGTGCCTACCATCTCAATTGTAGGTTGTTTTGGGGAATAAAGTATTAATTCTATCCCCATTTATTTGTTTGAATTAATTTCCCAAGTTTTTAGAGAACTGGTACAGTCTTTAATTGTTACCTTGAACTTCATTTCCTAAAGCAGAGAAACTGGACCTTAGCCTGATTCCACAGGCTAGCACCAGCATCTACCAAGGCCTACAGAGATAGCCTGACAGGAAAATAAAGTACAACTTACAAAATAACATTGCAAAGCAGCATATGCATACAGTAAAACTTGCTTTAAGAATTAACATTTGGTAAGAGAAAGATAAAAGATCATTTTGATTTACAAACATCTTTAGAACGGCATAGAATTGTTTAATGTAACTTTTACATGCAGTTCACTCAAATCTCAAATATTGCTAGTTAAATTTAGTGATATGAAATGATTTAAAATTACACAGCTATCTTTAGAGAATGTCAGAAAATATACATTATGTGATGTTTGTGTGTATCATTTAGTGATATCATTTAAATAAAGATAAAACAGGCAAAATAATTTTTCTATTGATTTCAATAAATTTGTGATGCTTACACACTTTTCCCTGAGACTCTGTTTCATTTTTAAGCAGAACCAGGTAAACTTTGCTGAGCTTGAGAAGTATACACCGTATTCTCCAGCACAACATTAAAATTATTTATAATGAAAGAAGTAACTACCATATTACACATGTAATACAGAAAGGTATATTTATAGTATGGTAAGTTAATTCATTAAAATGTAATATACTCATAATTAGAAAACAAGATGAAAAAATAATACTAACTCCCGGTGGCATATAGCTTATTAATCCTCACACTTGTTCCTGAAATATTTCTTGGGGAAAGAAGTATGTTTATTTATTCAAAACATGTTGGGTTTGGGTTTAACTGAGTAGTTTTACATTGACATAGGAAATAAAAAAGAATAGCTTTCAAGGGAAATGACAAATTCTGAGAGACATTTCAAAACAAATAAACCTAGATACTTGGACAAATATGAAATATACTTAGAACCCAATCTCTTCATGCTTAGTATAAACCTTGAATCTGAGTGATCTCTTACAGATCTTCCCAAAAAAGTAACTTACAGTATTTTTGAATGGAAGTAAGACATATTTATTATAGAAATATTAGAAAATACAACTAAACCTAAGAAGAAATCAAAATCCTCCTTGTAATGCCACTGTAACTCAGTAATCCGCTGCTTGCAGAGTCTGAATAACAAGAGCAAGGTTTGCTGGAAAGTGACTTTATTCAAGAGCTACCTGAGGGGAAATAGTACAGACTCCTGCCTTTAGATACCACTTCAGCCTTCAGCGCAGAAGACAAGGCTTTTTAAGGGGTGACAGGGGAGGAGGTGCAGGGTCTGTGTGACTTGATTCAGAGGTCTTACCTGTCAGGTAGTCTGGCTGGTGCCTCGGCAGGCAGCTACCTTGTAAATTCAGGCAGTCTCCTGGCGTCTGAGAGTTCCACATGGGCCTGATTTGCTTCACGTTTTAGTCTCTGGAACTTCTAAGTAAACAGATAAACTTGCTGCACCTGATGGAGAGAAGGTAAAGGTTATAATTGCATTCCTAAAGAGCTAAGTAGGAAGTGGGGTAAAGGAAAAAGAAAAAAACATCATGTTTTCCTTTTAAAAATGGGGTACTAGGCTACACCACCACCCAGTGAAAGCCACAGATAATTATTTCAACATGTGTATATGTGTATATACACATTGATTTAATGTATTACTCTTTTTTAAAAAATGGGATTATCTGCCTCACACCACACCAAAGGTTAATTTCCAATTTTAGACATAAAGTTGAAAATATAAAAATAAATAGTTATGGTCTTTAAAAAATCAGATTTAGAGAGTTTTTTTAAGCTGGAAATGAAACCTTAAAGAAGATGAACAAATTTATCATGTAAAGAAATGTTCAAAATGTATAGCAAAAATAATGAAAAATAAAGACAAGCAGAACACTGGGGAAAATATATATGACCAGCAAAGAATGCAAGTTTTTAACATATATATTATATATATATATATGTGCGTTGTGGATGTGTCTTCTGGCACAACTCATTCAAGACCTCAAACTGTGTCATCAAGGCATTATCTATTTTTCTGTCTAATCTAGCTCACTTTATCATCTATCTCTTAACAATACTTTTTAAAAAAATTGTCTCATACCCAGGTAATACGGATGGCCATTAATTATTCCAGGTTCATATACAAGAATCTCAGGAACCTCAGAGGAAAACACACTATCTACCCCAATTGTTGCTGTAAAATACATTAGGGGTGACTTTCACTGGCTCAGCCTGGGTCACGAATCCAAATACAAACAAATCATTAGAGCTTCACGGATGGCATATCCTGGCCAGGCCTGAGTCACATGCCCATCTTTGGAACTAGGTAAAGCAGAGTTAGCCCCTCCTAAAACATGCTAATGAGATTCTCTCCCCAAGAAAGAAGAATTTCTGAAATTGAAAATTAGGGGAAGAAAAATTGTTTTGGGCAGCTAAAATTCTAGAACTTCCTAACATGCAATAAGCTGTTACAAGTAACAATAACAACAAAAAGATGAGCTTAATATTTACATAGCTATAACAAAATTTAATTTTTTTACCATAATAAGTCTAATAATTTTCTGCTAAAAGGTATTTGCACATACATCTAAAAATATATTCAAGTATATTTACCACAAGGATATTTGCAATAGCGAAAAACTAGAAGCATTCTAAGAGCTCATCAATAGGGAATTGGTTAAATCTGGTAAATACAAACAAGGCATTATCAGTTCAGTCATTTAAAAACTAGGTAACTGTTTCCTTAAATGGAAAGATATCTACCAAGTAGTTTTTGAAAAATACTTACTAGGTAATATAATCACATAACTCAAAAGGTACAAGAGAGTATAGGATAAAAATTCTTTAACCTGGATGCCTGGCATCCCTTTCACTTCTCAGAGACAACCAATGATATCAATCATATTGTATTCCAGGATAGCTTATGAATATGTATGCTAACATATAAAAATATTTCTTCCTTGTCTGTATAATATTAGCATAATATATACTCCTTTCTGCACCTTTCTATTCAAATTATGTCATAGAGGTTATTCCATGTCAGTACATTATTCGTTTATATTCTTTCTGTATGTTGCATATTATTCCATTGAGCAACATGTGTAGTTTATTTCACTAGTTCACTACTTGATGGACTTTTATCTTTTTAACCTCTTGCTTGGAAAAAAAAAAATGTTGTGATGAATAAGTTTGTCCTTTGCACATATTTACATATATCTGTGGTATATTTCCCATGGAGTAAATTGCTGGGTCGAAAGGTATGTTCATTTATATTTAATTGGGAGTTGGAAAATATATTTATTTATTTATTTTTTAAATAGGTAATACTAGCATACTTTACCCAGCTCAAAAAAGATTTAAGAGTGAAAAGTCTATTTCACATTAGTTTCCTTCAGGTGCCCAAATATTGTTAACCAGCTTCTTGCAATTACTTAAACATTAAGTACCTATAAGCACGCAGCTGTATATAGAAGAATCTTCCTTGTTCCAGTGGGGTTTTTTTTTTCCACATTATATAATTTAAGAACAGCATTAGCATCATTCATACATGTGTCAAAAACGTGGATTCTCAGACCTACCTCCAACCTACTAAATCAAAATCTCTGGAGATTCTATCCAGGAATCTTAATTACTACCTCTCCAGGTGACTTTAATGCTCCCTAAAGTTGAGAATCACTGTTGTCCAGAGGTCAAAATGCTTACATCAAAGTGTTGATTCAAAAGAGAGACAGGTTTGGTGTAACATATCTCACTGTCTTCTCATTGGGCTCAGCTATACATCATCATTGAAGATCTCATCTATAAAAAAAACAAAAATGAAGAATGCAGGACTGCTTTTTGTTTTTTTTTCAGACAGGTCTCGCTCTATCACCCAGGCTGGAGTGAAGGGCACGATCTCAGCTCACCACAGCCTTGACCTCTTGGGCTCAAGGATCCTCCCATCTCAGTCTCCAGAGTAGCTGGAACTACAGGCAGGCACCACCACACCCAGATGATTTTTATATTTTTTGTAGTGATAGGGTCTCGCTATATTGCCCAACCTGGTCTTAAACTCCTGGGCTCAAGAGATCCTGCTGCCTTGGCCTCCCAAAGTGTTAGGATTACAGGCATGAGCCACCGTGACCAGCGGCAGAACTGGTTAAAAATTCAACTATCAACCAGTGTAAGTCACTTGGTAATCACTGTAAGCCCCACATTATCTGTAACTTCCAAAACTCCTGGAGCACCAAGAAAGAAGAGAGATGAGTGAACCTTTCTGTTTCTAGGTTTTCTTGATCATTGTTGTAAACATCTCAATAACCAGGCTCTTCGCTATCCTTCCTATTCCTTGACCTGCTTGCCTTCCATTCCTTCTCTTCCCAGCCTCCCTCCTGCCCTCCTCTTGTTGCTTCCTTTCATTCTTTATTTTTTCTATCTTTTTCTCACTCCTAGTGCGAAGTGTG